CACTATATCCAGAGCTTGGAGATTGGACATCAGGTGTAGTGTTAGATGGGGGTTTTGCTGAATCTGTGGTTGTAATAGGTACGCTCAATGAGTGCTTGGATTGACTAGACAAAGCGCCCTGTTCCTTCTTGCTATCGGCAAGAGACGAAACTTTACTTTGGCTAGTAGTAACTGTTGGAATGGTGGTAAGGACTTGAGCTGAAGTTAATGTTGGACTGGGTGTCAATTTCACAGGACTCAAACTTTTTGCTAAAGCCTGACTAGCTATGAAACTCTCTTGAAATGAAGTAGCAGCTTTTTGTAACAATTTCAAGCCTGGTGATGAGGAGAATGTGGGACTCCTAGAGCTCGTCTTCTCTGGAGTCTTCATTACAACATCCTGACTTTTCTTACTCGAGCTTGACTCTAGTGCAGCAACAATATCGATGGCTTCCAGTTTCCTTTTATTAGACTTGGGTTCATCTGAGGGTGTTACCAATTGATCCGATTTCTTCTGCGAGGACACATCCGCATCTTCCTTCCCTGTGGCTTTGGTTGGAAAATGCAAACTAAAATCGCCGTATGTTGGAGTCTGTGAAGATATGACATGACAATTGCAAACATTTTAGAAGTGTACATTTCATGAAATTAACATACCTTAATTCATCAGAAACAAGCAGTACGATGAGCGAGTGCGCCAAGGTGGTCGTGTGAATAGATTGCATGTGTATATTCATATCCACAATCATAAGCCCAGGGGCCTAAACATGTAAAATCAGGAAAATTAGGGTGTGGGCTTATACTGGAGGACCACTTCAGAAAAGATAATTTGTTTGGGGGGTTTAAAATTATAACCATCTTCCCACCCACGAAAAAGTATCCAAAATTACATCTTTCGTTCACAGCGCCAAGTCTTGGAGAAATATTTCATCTTTTTGAAGAAACAAATACGAAACGAGTCGTCATTGATTTCCATGACACTTTTTACAATGAAGAAACAAACAAGTTTTCCGATTACTGACAAAGTAATTTTTTCAACGCAATACGGAAGTGAATTACCACCACGTAACAATCTGTTAACACTGATTTTGACAAAAATGCTGTTGTTTCGCAATTTTCAAAAGGTAGACCTTTCACGGTCGCCAACAAGTCATGTCGAAGAATAGTTTGCTTGTTTACACCCCATTCATGATAGTCTCAATGGACATGATTATTCGGAAAAGTAAAACCTCTGACCAGGTTTCACGACTTGACAATCACATTTTTGGTGTTTTGAAAACTACTACTCAAAAGAAATATGAATTACTTCAGTAATGCAACATCAGGGTTCATCCTGAGTCAATAACAGAATAGAAAAGGTTCGAAATATGTTCTGTGTGTTCCCCGCCAAGCACTCTGAAGTTAATGCGAGTTTTTTTCGTAAAAGCAGCAACCCAACTACCGTACCAATCACAATTTTTATGTAATGAAATACACTTTTTACATGCATATTTTAATAAATGTCATCAACACCCGGTAAAAACACCCTGGGCCTATACTTGGGATGCCCTCAACTTGTTAAATGTCTATAAACAGATGGGAGGGGCTTATGATTGGGTATATATATTGGTCCAATGCAGAGTTACCATGACTGGCTTATTGTGAGACAAATTCATATTTCACAAAGACTTCTATGTGATGGATTGAATAAAAAATTGGATCAAAAGCTGCCTTCTTATTGATCATAATGACAAAACTATGGCTTGCATTTCATTTTCAATTAAAATCTTGCTTTTAAAATTAACGACAAATGTAAATATAATTTCATTTCATGAGAGACATCTGAAAGTTTCATTGACTTTATTTTGTTTTCCACAACCGTTTGAATCCTACTCACCTGTGGCTGTCTATGCAGCGAACTGTATCCAGAACAGTATCTTATAGCTTGCTCCAAAGGAGAACTACTATCTGATAACTACAACAAAACATATCGAAGAAGAGTAATTTAGTACAAATCTTTTCATGATGTTAAATGGAACACTGTCATCAGAATATACATTCCACCTTTCTCTTGACTGGTGCCTACATCATGTACACTACATAGATTATCTAAATTATAGTCGTACATAATATATACTTTATTTAGGATCCTGCAACCATCAATGACCAGTCAATACTTTGGCTTTGATCAATTTTTGATATTGATAATTGTGCATGGTATTTTAACAGCCATATATTCAATTTGTTGCTGTTGAGTAAGACTAACCAACACATATCCAAAGTCATGATAACACTGTCATTATAAATTTATGATGACATAGCTGAAAAGCAGGATTTATTTTGAAATTCAACTCTGAGATTACTGTATACAGGTAGTCAAAATTCTGAAAAGTTGTAAATTTGAGTCTAAACACCAATCTGAAGTAGGAATAGGCTCCATTTTATTTTATTTTATTTTAATTTATATATTTTATTGTTATTTTTTTTTATTTGATTTTGTCTTTATTAATTTTTTTATATATCATATTTCGGCCACCTTATCCAGTAACTAGGGCGACTGGGATACGATTTAAAAACAAACAAACTTAATAACAGCAAGTAAAACAAAAAAAAAATACATATAAAAATTAGAAAATTGTCTA